CCTTCGACTGTTCTGGTTAAACAGTTCAACTGAAACCTCATTAGTTCAACTTTATTATTTTCTTAAGACCAACTGTTTTTAGTTTCTGCATTTTTTAATTTATTTATTTATTTTTTCCTACTTGCTTTGACTCAGTTTTTTTCCCTATATTTTAATCATGTAAAGCACTTTGCATTGTCTTTGTACTGAATTGTGCTATACAAATAAATTTGCCTTGCCTTGCCATGCAAATTCTTACTCTTGTACAAGTACTTCTGCCTCTCGAGTAAACCATTTTTTATTAGCTCCAAAGGCTGGTGATCCAGCCTATCCATGTTTTATAGTAGCGTTCAAAAAATATATCGCCATTCCCTATAAAGCAGACATGGAAGTCTAATAACAGGTCTGCATCAGTTTTTGCCTGTTTTTCTTTGAGGTCTCGCCACGAAGCAAACGCTTTGCCCAGATTCAGATTTTTCGAGTCCCATCTCTAACTTATTCACCTTTTCTCTTCATTTTCCCTACTGGCAAAGGTGTTCTATGGTTTTTTTTATTTATTTAAATTTATTAAGGTTAAAAAAGAAATACTTAGCACTGCTTTAATGTGTAGACCTAAACCTGAGTGCTATATCTTATCATTCTGGCTCACTGGGTTAAAAGACGTCGATCTCTCTTACTTTTTTGTCCCCACAGAACTCCAAAAGCCATGTGTCTCCAATGAGGAGGAAGCTTTAGACATCCAACGGCTCTGTAGCCAGAAGAGGGCATCCAGTCATCACCAGGAGGAGACAGAACCTCAGTGGAATGAAGAAAAACAGATGGAACCAGATTTCCCACTGTTTGAAGAACAGGAGGAACCTGGGCCTCCGTGGATTAAAGTAGAAGAGGAGGATCCAGAACCTCTACTGATTAAAGAAGAAAATGAGGATCCATGGTCTTTGTTGGAAAAAGAGGAACAGGAACAACTAGATTCTTCGATGCTCAGACGACCAACTAGACTCAACCACAAGGACCTTGGCAGCAGTCAGGAGAAAGGACAGCTTACCCAGAAACAGTCCATTGCTCTGATGGAGACTTCCACTCTTCAGGGCAGTAATCTGTGTGAAGGAGAACCAATAACTGGACAGCTTTCCTTTAACATCTCCCCTGTAGTTGAGATCACAGCTCAGGAGGGAAGTAGCTCCGCTGCGTCTGAGAGGCAGCCTCATGTTGACACAGAGAAAATGTCTTTGAAAGATGATGTTTGTGGAAGATCCTTTAAAAATAAGCATAGATTAGAACAGCATTACCGAACCCACACGTGTGAGAGACGGTTTTCTTGTGAGACGTGTGGAGCAAGTTTTGTTAGACGCCATCACTTATACGCACACCAGAGAATCCATACAGGTGAGAAGCCTTTTTCCTGTGAAACGTGTGGAAAAAGCTTCACTCAAATTGCTAGCTTAAACGTTCACAGGAAAATCCACACAGGCGAGAGGCCCTTCTCCTGTGAAATATGTGGGAAGGGTTTCATCAGACGCGATCATTTAGACGTACACCAAAGAACCCACACTGGGGAGAGGCCATTTTCATGTGAGGTAGGGCTGCAACATCGAATTCATAAAAGGAATAGAAATCGGTTAAGTGTTGGAAACGAATTCCATTATCGATTCATGGTGCAGTGAGATTAAAGCCCTACCCTCCATGTGGCCGAGCCGTTTACGTCGGCTCACTGTGCACACTGACAGCACAGTGGGCTGAAGAGAGCAAAGCGTAAGCAGAGTAAAAGAAACTAGAACCTGGCATTTCAAAAGATCTTTAATTTCCTTTTGGTGGGCTGTACCTATATGTCCTGTAATGGTAAGGATTGTGGGAATTCATTTATAGGTCCTAAGCAGGAGCTCCCTCTGCTAAATTAACTATCGATAGAAAGAATTTTAAGAGTCCTTACTGATAAAATAATGATTGAATCAAAGTTTTAGGGGGAAAAAATGGCAAAAATATTCACACCATTTCTTAAAAACAAAAGTCAGAGTTTTAATTAAAAAGATTTACATTTTCTTCGCTCATCGGCAGCCAGTTTTAGTTAGCCTGACCGTCGCTTACTTATGCAAGCCAAGAATTGAATGTCACCCTTTGAGAGATTATTGTTGATGTTGAGATCACAGTTAGCTTCAACATCCTCCTTTAACAAGATTTTGAAGCAAAGCTTTGAGGATAGACTAAGGTTTATAGGAAAATACTGCTGCTTGTTTAGATTGAATTAAATTTCAATGGTTCATTTGAATTTTGATTTTGTTCAAGTTGTTTCACTTTATTGCATAAATGTATTTATGTCAGACTTTATATGGTAGCCAAAGTATAAAAATATGTATCTCATTTCAATGTTCAAAAAGTTTCAAGTTTTATAATAAATGAGTTGGAGTTTAAACACGTGTTGCTCTTTAGTTGTATGTGTATGTTTTATGCCAGTCTGCTAGGGGGCGCTATGGTGCTGGCAGCATAGATACAGGGGAGATTTCTAATATGGCCTTGGAGCCCAACTTTGTTCTGGATGAAAAATGTGTTACAGTGTGGAGATAGCTTTGGATGAGCATGTGAACAGTTTATTATTTTTAGTTATTCAGTCATTTTCAAACTGAGGTGTATGTGTACCACCACGCCCCCTGGTGGTACACTGGGAAATGTTTGTCAGCAATTCCTTTAATCCACTCCACACAGCAACATCTATTAAAGACTTTCTGTCAAACTTTAAACAACTCTGTTAAATCAGTTAAATATGGTATAGGCTTATTTAACTGATTTTTAAGTTAATAATGGTATAGGCTTCCATAATAATGTTAAGAGTACTTAACTGAGTGCTGATATGTTTCATTTGTTTTTATGTAGGCTGATAAAAATACTTAAATACCCAGAGATAAAACAATCACTGACATAATTGTTTCTGAACATTATGACCATTGAACAGATAACTGGAGCAAGCTAGCAGCACAGAATAAATCACTATAGAAACGTATGTTTCTCTCTGCCTTCAAGCTAAAGCTGCATGCATCAAAATCATGCGACTGAAATGAATTAAAATTCTAATATAAAAAAATTCAAATGTTTAAATTTATTTCAGTCACATGATTTTTGACTGAAAGTTATCTGGGAAATCCCAGCATAATCCTGAATCTTGGTTTGGTGAATCAGACCGCAAGGAAAATATAGATATTGGAATATATTACCATCATAAAAATCACCTAAATCTAAAAAGGTACCATGAAGCAACATTTCAGGATCCAAATTATTAGTCGTTTTCTTCTTTGCATTATTAGATACACGGATCAGTTCTGTAATAAAGGTTTTGTCTCTCTCTGTAGTAGAGGTGGAACCAGAGTGTTCTTGATGAATCAAGATGAAGCCAAACATCTGATCTTTACCATATTGGATGATAAAACGTAAACGTTTTAGGAATAATTGAAAATAAACTTTCCAAATGTAACTAGTTAAGTCATTTTATTATACAAAACCAGAGATGGAAAAAACTTTTGTTTTCAAATCTAAAGGAATTAAAATAAAATGAAATCAGTTCTCAGTTAATGATAGTTTTAATTTGTCCTCAGGATAACAGAAGCAAGTTCAGTTCATTTCATTCTCAGCTGATATAAAGAACATTTGTTCTGCAGAGCAGTAGAGCAACAACTAGAACATCCACATACATGAATACAAATATTAAAGCAGAACAATTAGAGCCCAGATAAGATTATAATATGGATAAATATAACAGAGTCAGTAGAACAAAAGAAAACCTCAGCAGTGATATCCTTTATGACTCCTGGAACACAAAGTTCTACATTTAAATAAAAAAAAGAATGAATAACAGAGCAGCAGAGTAGAGAGACACTAGAGCCATGAACCTAGATCATCAAAGAAAGAAAGAAAAATCTATTTGAGTTTACAGAACTCTCCAGAGCAATAAACACCAACATGCAGCGGCTGAGTGAATGTGGTCTGGACTCTGTGAAAGAGAGTCATGGTTTCAGAGACGTTGTAGAAGGACAGAATCCCTGCTGAGTGATCCAGGTATATTCCTATCCTGGAGGTATCAGGACGTTTGACAGGGGTCCAGATGTTGTTGTGACCAAATTTAAAATCATAATCAATATATTTGAATGTCCAAGATTTGTCATTATATCCAAACTTACTTTCATTCCCACTACCTGTTCTGCTGATATCCTTGTATGCGAACGCTACATTAGACCCTGTCCTCCAATTCATCTCCCAGTAACAGCGTCCAGTCAGACTCTGTCTACTGAGAAC